AATCCAATTTATCAGTCTGCACTTACATCACATTTTGATTGTGGAATGTTAAAAGCCACTGTGGTGGTGTACAGAGGCAAAATCACAAAAAATGTGGGGGTTTTTTCAAACATTTTCTTTGCTCTTTGTCTTTCAGTCTTGAAGCCACATCCACCCAAATTATATCAGAAGGAATACATGCATGGTCTGCTCCTCTGTCTATCAAGAGTCAGGCAGATGACAGCCCTCTGTTGCGCTCTCTGTCCCCTGTTCTACCCCTGAGCCAGTCAAGTCCAGGTAGAGGACAAGAGGTGTCCCTGGCCAATGTATTTGTCCCTCTTGATACCATTAAGCCAAGTGAGTTCACTAAGTGGTCTTTACTGACTATATGTTTATCTCTTAAGTGAAGGTTTTTGTAGCCCATTGGAGTGTTTGCTCAGGGTCCTTGACAAGATTAATTTGAGGTCAAACCAGATCATCTGATGTCTTTCTGAAGGTTTTCAGTGATGGAAAAATGGTGTTTACTCTATTAAGCACTTAACACTATTTTAAGTGCTTAAAACCTATTGGAAATGTAGATTTCTGAAGTAGATTTTCACTGAAAAGGACCAGTGTAAAAGCTGTTCAAAAAAAAGCTTTATGTTCTCAAAATGTGAAGATGTATTTTGTTTTTATTAGGACATTTTTGTTTTGCCAACCAGTAATTTAAAATGTTGGCTGCTATTTGACCATCTATCTACTTCGATAGAAAATCCTGTAGAGAGAATAATCACCTGAGAGATTTTGGGAACGCATTCGTGCCTGCGTACTGCAGATGGTTCACTGACCTCCAGGTGTTTTTTGTCAAAACATAATTGTTAGATGGGAGAAAATGAACATATGGTCATTACTGGTGACAGTGAAAAAGTGAATAACAAATTGACAGTGAAAAACTTACTAATACTGTTAGTTTTATGTTCTCACTGTGATCGGAAATTAAGCATCGCAGCATGCACGAAAGGAACGATGTGCATGAAAGCAGAAATCTCTTCTAGCTGACTCAAATGACTGTGTTGAGGGTCGTGTGTACTGGCTTATCAGTTTATGAAGTAATCTCAGTTTATTCTTTTTCTTTGCGCTACCTACACTTTTAGGTAAAGTGTGCCCAGTGACAGCTTATGATAAAAATGGTGTTCGCGTTCTGCTGCATTTCGCCACCGACTTTCCACCAGGCAGGCCGGATGTGCTGGTGATGGTGGCGTCCATGCTTAACACAGCCACTCAGCCGGTGAAGAACATTGTTCTGCAGGCTGCTGTGCCCAGGGTAAAACATGACGTCCATACGTAACACTGTTCCTCCATCATGAGATTAGATTTCAGTAAAAATTGAATTTGGGTGGGATGCAGCTTGTGTTTGATGTATGTGGATGTCTCTTCTGCCAATTCTCCAGACGATGAAAGTAAAACTGCAGCCACCCTCAGGGACAGAGCTGGCCTCTTTTAACCCAATACTTCCCCCTGCTGCCGTCACTCAGATCATGCTGCTTGCCAATCCTCTCAAGGTAAAGCTCAGCCTTGAGCTTTTCTGGTGTCCATGCATTTAAGCATTTATTTATTGACAGAGCGCTTACTCGGTTGAGCTGTTCATTCAGTAAAGCACAGTGAAACGTCTTTTACTGTCTTCCTTGTCAGTCAATATGAGAAAATAATGGTTAATGGCTCAGTGTGATCCTTAACTGAAATGTTCTGCTTTTATGTCTTGCAGGAAAAGGTCCGGATGAGATATAAATTGGGATTCACGCTGGGAGACCAGCCATTCACAGAAGTGGGGGAGGTGAATGATTTTCCACCTGTTGATAAATGGGGAGCTCTATAGCTCTGTAGGCTGATCGCTATAAGACTACTTGAACGATTTGGCTTTCAGTGTTCTGCTATGGTCAAAAGAAAGCAAAATATTAAAGCTTTCAGGCAGAGTTTCAATATTTGATAAACGTTGTTGGATTTCAGAGAGTTGAAGATGGTCTGCTGATGTAGCACAAATACAGTAATTTTATTACGATACCAGAGGTAGTCAGTGTGATGCAGTTACTAACAAAATGAACTGTCTGAATGCTAATGGTGGTTGTTTGGTGAATTTTAAATATTGTCGTGCTTTCAATTTTTTTTAGTACCCTTTTGATATAATTTTAATGTTCCTATTTGTGTCTCTGTTTTATTGGAGAATAGTTGCACTTTTGAAAACGGCAGTCTTGCATAGAGGTTAAAATGATTATGAAACTGTGGTTGTATGAGCAGGTGATCGCAATCAGAGTTTCACATGATTTCTTGATGACTATGTAAGATTTTTACAGTTGAGACAGGCTGAAGCGAACAAGAGCCCCTCTATTTCTGAAAAATCACTCCAATATTGGCTGATTGGAAATTGGTCACTTCCAGTCTGGCTCAAAACTACAACTGAATACTTTTCTTCTTCTGGGTTTTACAGGAAATCACAGCTCAGCCTCTTATACTCACCACTTATGGTTTTTTTTTAGTATTTCAGTATTTATTGTCATGAATGTATTTATTTTGGTTAGTGAGGAAGCTATCACAACTCCTAACGTAATGTATGGTGATGCAGTTGTCAGCTGTATTCTGCATACCCCTTATTAATAGATACTTTGAGTATTGTATTAATAGATTAACAAGTTAGTGTGCTTTTCAGAGTCTTTAATGTTACCAAATAGTCATACAGATTTGTTATAAACGTTACATTATTTAGCAAACTAGAGATGGGCTTAACAAGGAAATTTAATTCCTGTCAGAAGAAACGGCGGCCATAGGTCAAGGCATAACCACTGGGTAACTTTACATGTGTTCATACAGAATTGTGACCTCTTTATCTCTATCTTCTTGGAGTTATGTGTGCTGGAGGTTCTCTACATATTTCTTATAAGTTTATTTATTTGTCATATTGTTAAATTACCTTGTCATTGCATTTTTGAACAACTACTTCTGTGCATGGATAAATAAAGACTGGGATGGTTTTTATTTATGTTACACCTTTTAACATGACTTTTTTTTTTTTTTTCAGTGTTCAAAATCAGTGTAAATGCAACTGAATGTTTTTCAATTTTAGAATTGTTATCTCAGGTCCTTAAATTAGCTTGAAAAATGTCTAAGGTATGCAAAACTGCCACATTTTGCCCCATTGAAAGTCATTGAAATACAATTTTTGATCCTACATTTATTTTTGACATTGACTAATTCATTCCGTTATGTTAAGGTTTTATTTTGGAGTACTCTCCTTCAGTTTTTTTTATTTTTATAGTTGCCCACCAGGTGTTACTGCTTTTTCCCATTCAAAGCAAGCAGCAAAATTTTGCCTTTTCTTTTTTTTCTTCAAGGCTGCTTTGCTACTGAAATAAATGTTGTTGGATAATCGTATGTGTGAGAGAGAGGTCCACCTTTAAGTCTTTTGTCTTAGTTTATAATGCAGGGTGTGGCTTTCTAATTCAATAACAGTAAATGTATTGTATTGCATTTTGTCCATCTCCATATTTTGATATTCTTCAAATGTTTGCCTCCCACAAAGACTGCAACAGTCTGAGTTTGAACCTGGGACCTGCACACCATGCCACCAGCTATGCACTGCTGCTGATTGTAAGTTGTGGCCATGGGAAACACTCAGTGGTGTATATGGACACAGAGGAACTACAGCCTATTTAGGGATGCTCATTTCAGATGGTGTTTGCAGGTAACAAAAATTAATCAGTTCAACTTAACATGTTTCAAGCTGAAGTAGTTTTAAAAGACTCTGTCATTTAAAGTGGAAAAAGTAATACTATATAATATTTTATTGGTGGGAAGTTACTTTTTTAATAGAACCTAGATTATACACTGTAGAAAAAATAAAATGCTGGAAAATCAATGTTTCTGCCAATCATTAACCTATCCCAGGGCCTAATAAAATCATAGTAATATACTCAAAACTTTTTTTTGCTCTTTATCCTGTTTGCTGTATGTGAAGTGCATTAATATAACCAAACATAGTCCATGTGGTGTATTTATTTCTTTTCCAATGCCAGATGGTGAGTGTATCCCCAGATTATATGCATCTAAACGTCGCTTACTCATTTTTATTAACTTGACGATACTGGAGCCATGAACTATATTGCTGTTAAATGAAACGCGGGCTCTTCGCTCACTGTATTGCGGCCGACGCAAAGTGGCGCGCTACACTGCGCAGCCGCAGCAGCAGCAGAACAGGCGAGACGCAGGCAGACAGTCCTCAGCAGCAGCCATGGCAGATGGAAAGGCCAAGGTGAGGATTGGACTTTAAATGAATCAGAGCCCATACAAAGTTGAATGTACACGGTAAACTGATGAAAAGGAGTTCGTACAATTATTTCGAATCGTATAACACCAAAGACCGCTTCAAACATGCGCTAACTTTACGGTATTTGCTAGGAAGCTAACGGGTGAAGTTAGCATAATAAGCTAACGTGGCTAACCGACTCGATCCATTGGTGTATTTTCAAAAGAAATCTATATTTTCTGTAAAATAATTTTTAATCGGCACCTCTAAATTTTTGCCATCGTTATGAGTAATGCACATGTAATGGAAAATGTAGTTATCCGATATCCGACTAGATTAAGCACCAGTTCAAGAAAAGCGAGTTAACGCTGAGACAGAACAGAACAACATAAACGGTACAAAACAACAAAAGCCGTAATGTGTAAACGAATCTTAAGTTTAAAAAAGGGTACCGTTGTACTCAATCGCTAGCCATACGCCTGGGTAAAGAGATAAGGGTTTTGTTAATAGCACAAGTAGTATAATTTGAATCCTTGCTAGGCCGCTGTGCATCTTGTTGTATTGAAGGCCATTGTTGCTTGAGTTGCCTATAGCTAATGCTAACGTTGAAGTTGTAAATCTAGTCCTCATTGCTCTCGGTACCCACGCTAGTCTCCCGCTCTACGCACATCAGACAGGCTGGTGTCGCGGAGGATTAAAAAAACAAGCAAAAAAAACGTAAATCCACACACGTATTGTGAAATTAACTTTTGTTTGAAGACAATGAGGTATCGCTGAGATATGCAAGACACCTATGACTCGGAATTTGAAATGGCGGGCGCAGTTTCTTGTAAATAGTCACACCTCCCCCTTTTTTCTAAATAATCTGACTTTCTATGAACTTGTTTTTTGTCTTTAGGAGGGAGTAAAGACTGAGAACAATGAGCACATCAACCTGAAGGTGGCAGGACAGGATGGCTCAGTGGTGCAGTTTAAGATCAAAAGGCACACTCCTCTCAGCAAACTGATGAAAGCTTATTGTGAACGGCAGGTGAGACTGGGACACAATTTTAACTGGTTCTTATAAGTATCTTTAACCTCCTAGGACCTGGTGTCTACATATGTGGACATCACATTTTGGGATGTCTAGACGAAAATACTTAATTTTTCTCTACAAGGGCCTGATATCCACTTATGAGGACATTATACTGCCACTGTTCTATCAAAATTTAAAACCATTGCCTCATATGTGGATCTCATTTGTCTCAGAAAGAAAAATTAGGTAAAAAAAAAATCTGGTAATTCTTTGTTTTTACATTCATCAGGTCCCAATCAAGCCAAATAGCAAAGAAAATTTTAAAATGCATGCCATGAAAGAGTTTGGGTCTTAGGAGGTTAAATGTGTTGCTGGTCTTCTAAAATTGGTCATCCCTATTCCAGAGACCAAGAAATTGACATTTAAAAATAATGGTTCTTGCCAAATCAGAATGGAGGGGGGGGGGAAGCTATATTTTGACATCCATTAGGGCAAATATGGTTCTCAGCCGGAAAAGGGTGGAGTGCCCACTCCGGGTCGGGGATGACTTCCTGCCCCAAGTGGAGGAGTTCAAGTATCTCGGGGTCTTGTTCGCGAGTGATGGGAGAAGGGAGCCGGAGATCGACAGACGGATTGGGGCTGCGGCTGCAGTTATGCGGACGCTGCACCGGTCAGTCGTGGTGAAGAGGGAGCTGAGTGTAAAAGCGAAGCTCTCAATTTACCGGTCGATCTACGTCCCTACCCTCACCTATGGCCACGAGCTGTGGGTAGTGACCGAAAGAACGAGATCGCGGATACAAGCGGCGGAAATGAGCTTCCTCCGAAGGGTGGCTGGCCTCTCCCTTAGAGATAGGGTGAGAAGTTCGGCCATCCGGGAGGGGCCCAGAGTAGAGCAGCTGCTGCTCCACATCGAAAGGAGCCAGCTGAGGTGGTTCGGGCATCTGGCAAGGAGGCCCCGGGGCAGACCCAGGACACGCTGGAGAGATTATATCTCTCGGCTGGCTTGGGAACGCCTTGGTATTCCCCCGGACAAGCTGGAGGAGGTGGCTGGGGAGAGGGAGGTCTGGACCTCTTTGCTTAGGCTGCTACCCCCGCGACCCGACCTCGGATAAGCGGATGAAGATGGATGGATGGATGGATAGGGCAAATATTCAAAACTAAGGCATATGTTTTGAACCAGTATTTTTATTAATTGGCTTAATTTATTTATGCTTATATTATGTTTAAGTATATCAGATGGTCAAAAATATCAGATGACGCATCAACTTCTGTTAGCTATGGTAACAAGGCTCTTTGCTTTAACTGTGTGAAGACCAATTGTTTGTATGTATTGCCCCCCACGATCTTGACTTTGTTTTGGCCCTATAGAAACACATCTTTGTTTTAATTTTGTCATTACTCACATGGTACCCGGAGGAAAGGTTTGGCCCAATCCAGACAACCTTAAATTTATCTGAAAGTTAAGAGTCTTCAAAAACACCTAAGGTCTACTTTATACATAATAGGTGTGCAACATCAGTCCTTCCCCATCTAATGCGCAGTACACAGTGTGATAGTTACCCCTTCTTGCACGTCCTCTGTACTGAAAATAAAGGATTGCAGATTAGAGTAAAATGTCAATCATATATATTTAATCTTTGTAAAATTCTAGATGTTTATAAATTGTGTTATTTGTATATGTTAGAGCTATTTCTCATATATGTAACTTTGTAATATATTGTATTATTTAATTTTGGTCAGCGTGTTACTGTTTTTATTGTCTTGCAGCAAGTTTAACCACATAATTTCCTTTTATCCCACCCTCTTTATTTACATCTAATTTTGAAGAGGTTTTTTAGTTTAGTGGTCAGTAGTGAGAGATGGGGAACAACAAAGGTTCTCCTGAAACTGGAGGTATTGCACTTCACAGCCAGTGTTTTAAACCTGCGGTCACAAAAATGCCTTGTGATGTTTAAAAGTAAACATTTGTTTTTCCACTCAGGGGCTGTCAATGAGGCAAATACGATTTCGATTTGACGGTCAGCCCATCAATGAAACAGACACACCTTCTCAGGTATGTGTACACGCTCTTGTTTTTGTGCACTTTTGGAAACAATTTTCGTTATTGTGAACTACGGCTGAATAACCCTTGGTCCTCACATTCTTGCTACTCCGGATCTTACATTTCATATTAGTTACTACATGTAAACTCACTGCATTATGCTGCAGTACTCACAAACCAATCAGCTGTTTGGGGGATTCCAGGCCAGGCCAACACGATCCTTTTTTGTTTTGGTTTGGTTTGATTTTTTATTTGTTTTTGCAGTCCCGAGATTGCATTTCAGCTGATATGTTATCAGCATATACCATTTACTTTCATAAACTCAAAGACGCAGTAATTCTGCATTACAACTGTACTACTACTAGACCGAGAAAGAGTTTATAATACTTAGTGTTGTATACAGAAAGAGCATAGAGTTTGCATAAGAGCTGTGATGAACAGATCTAACTACTTGTTGCGTTTGCAGTACTCCCTTCATGTCAGTGCAGAACATAATGTTTTTACTATGATGTTTAGCGGAAAACAGTCAAAACACTGGGTGATAAATCAGGTATGATACATGAATACACTGATACATTAAGTATTTTTATATTCTCATAACAGCCTGTCTACAAGCACCTTCACATAAAAGGGGTGACATTAACAACATATGACCAATCATGCATATGGACTTTGTAGTGACAGCACACACACAACAAAAATTAAAAGCTATGATATTTTTAAAAAAAAAATTGAAGAGGTTAAGCACACAATAGTAACTGCTGTGTAGGTTTACACACAAGTATTACAGGTCTGTTATTAAAACACAGGACGAGATGATGGATTACAATTGTTATTTCATTGAGTTAATGTTTAGATATGCTTATGTTTTAGGAGCATATTAATGCTTATAGGATAATCTTCTGAACTTGCAGTTGACAAGTGGGGGGAAAAAAGCAGAAATTAAGCTGCTTCCCAAGAGCAGGTTGGCAAAGACAAAAACTTTAGATGCTATTAAATATTTTTGGACCTTCTTAGGAGATCTGAAGAGATCTTCCAGGAATGGTGATGATACTTTTCCAGAAAAGTGAGTGCTCAGTAGGCAGTTTTCTACCTGTTTATCTCTTATCTTGAGTATAACCTTCTCCAGAACAGCAAGAAGTGAACAGCTTTCAGAATATATCAATAAATAGCCCTGAAGTTAGTGAGATGGGTACAAATCCTGCTTCATAGTACAGGCCTCAAGGCTTAAAAAACTGTAGTCAACATGGATGTGTCTTATATTTTAATGGCCACCAGAGGGCGAGCAATCCTTTTGTTGAAAAACCTTTGATTGTGGGAAAATGGCCCCTGGCTTCCTCCCTCTGTGACCTCGTTGAACACTTTCTTGATGAGTTTATGGGCTTGGGAAACAAACATCGAGTCCGTTCAGAAAGAAGTAAGATCTGTGGTTCATACTGCAGCTCACTGAGTAATAACTTGTTTGTCAAGTCTTTTAACATACCAGTGGGTTGCAGCACGGTGGCTTCAGCCACCTTTTAAAGCATTTGTACTTCCTTCTAATATTTAAAAAGTTTTCTTGTCTTTTTCTTTTGCAGCTAGAAATGGAGGATGAAGATACAATCGACGTGTTCCAACAGCAAACTGGAGGCTCTCCTCTTTAAAGACTGTTTCCTATGAACATCCCTACCTCCCCCTTTCATCCCTGAACATCTTTGTTATACCCAGTCTTCAAATGCTCATGACCAGTGTTGATACGATCCAGTGGAATATTTACACAAAATACTCAAAGGCAGCACAGTTAGTGTTGAGTTTGATCACACTGCCATGTTACGTGACATGTTAACATGTCTGAACAGCGCAGTGCAGACAATAAGTAGGCTGCAGTCAGTCTAATGTGCTGAAGAAACGAGAAACTGTTTTTGTTTGTTTTTTAATTTCGGAAGAGAACACTTGGTCCTGCTTTTGCTTTTATACTTACCAAGGCTTTGATTAAAGATGGAGGTTTGATTGATGTAACCCGGTGTTTTAAATTCACTGACATCTGTTGTTATTATAAAAATGTATTGTTGGAATAAAATGAGTCTTTTTTTTTTCTTTTTTTTTTACAAATCTGTGTGTATGTGTGTTTTTGTCACATCTGAAAACTGTTTGCAGGTACTGCTGCAGTCATTTAAAATTGTGGGTTTGAATGTCCTTCTCATTTGTTTCCATGCAATAAGAGGAAATGCTGACACGTCTTCAAATTATAATCATCAGATAGCAGTTTTCATGTGTGGTTATGATGTAAGCACTTTTAGCAGCCAAATATATAATTATCCATTATTCCGTAGCCAATAAAATACAGTGGATATGTAGTCAGTTTTCAAAAGTAATCAGTGTCTAGATAATGATCTCTTGAATGACGTAATGAGCTGTGTGTGCATATGCATGTCCCCACTTGCCCTGCTATTGTCTTTATTCTTCAAGCTTAGTCCCTCTACCAGATGCCTTGGAGTTTGAGTCTTGCGCAGCGTCTTTGCTGTTCCTAGACTACACTACACTTTTCTGAACATAGATCTTTGTTCTTGTTCTTTCCATTCAGCTGACTTGTCAGAACTGGCCTTACTGCAGGTATTTCATAGTTTCCCACGGGTCTCTATGGCTCCAGTTTGCTGGGGGATTCTAAAGTACTGTCCTCAATATTTTCAATCTTGCTTTCTAATAATAGTCCTTTTGCTTCTCACTATGTTCCTTCTCTTTATTTGCCATCTGACTGCACTTAACCAGTCCGAATGGCATTCCGATGATGTTGCTGTTGATCTTACTCGGGAATTGATGTCTCATTCGTGGCTGGCATACAGCTTGAGGTCATCCATGTAGAGGAGGTGGTTAACGTTTGCTCCATTCTGTTGTCTGTATCTGGAGCCAGTCTTAATGATATGGCTGAGAGGGTTCAGGTCTTGGTAAATCCTGCAATTGTACTTTTGCACTAGACGGCCTCTAGTGTTGTTCTCAGGGTCCCTTTGATTGTTCATGTCCATTTGTGACTCATTGTGTCATAGGCTTTCTTGTAATTGTAATTCTAACTACTCTTGTGCTGAGTAGTCACTTTTGAGGCCAGACTGACCAATGTTCCGGCAGCATGGTGTTTTTTCTCTTTGTTTTTTCTCTCAATTCCTTTCTGGGCCCATGTATTGAGTCCTACGCCTATTCATCTGGAACAGGGGTCTCAAATTTGCAGCCCATGGGATGCTTGCAGCCAGTATGTTGACAAGAAGAAATTCAATTTTGCAGTTTGGCCCTTGAAGTTCCTTTTTTTGTTAGGAAGTATATGTTTTTTGTTGAGTGCAATGTTCAAGTAAGCTCTTTAAAAAGCAGAAACGTATTTAATATGAAGACATTATGAGCAGAGAGTACAAACATGTTGAGGGTTTGGGTGTGTTAGTTCAGTGAAAGTTATTTGTAAAGAAAACAAATTTCACTAGCAGTCAAAAACTAATGTGTACACTTATCTCTACATTTTTATTTTGTTAAATACAAACAAAATTATAGCATAAGTGCTGCCACATGTCTGGTTAGAAAGAGAGTACCAATTAGTGTTTTTTGGTAGTTCAATGAAAGGCTTCAGTTAGTTAAGAGAAGAAGTTTGCTGATGTCTTCAACCTGTCATTATCCCAGGCTTTAGTCCCATGCATTTGAAAATCCTCCACAGTCATACCAGCCCCCAAAAGACTGGACATAACCACCCTAAATGACTTCAGGCCAGTGGCACTCACACCAGTTGCCATAAAGTGCCTAGAAAAACTGGTTCTCACACATATCAACCACATGGTCCCGGACACTGTCCATCCGCTCCAGTTTTCTTGCTGTCCCAATCGATCAGTGGATGACACAATAGCAATAGCCTTACACCACACTCTGCAACATCTGAAGAGTAGCAGAATGTAGAGCAGGATGCTTATACTGTACTCCAGTTCTGCTTTCAATACCATACGTCCGGGCAAGCTGACCAAGAAGCTGACATACCTTGGCGTCCCAACTGGATTCTGGATTTCCTGACAGATGGACCACAGGTGGTGAGAATGGGAGGACGAGCGTCTGCTGCGCTTACAGTCAGCACAGGGTCCTCGGCGGGCTGTTGCCTCAGCCCCAAACTCTCCACCCTGTATATGAATGACTGTGTCTCCACCCAGGATAACATCTTTGTCATTAAATACGCTGATGAGACCACCATCCTACGGTTTATCAAGGTGGGCATGAGTCAGGGTACAGCCCTCTTGTAAAGGGGGTATACTTTATAATTTACAATTTATATTAGTTTTGTGTTGTCTTGTTTATGTCCTTCAATGCACATATTAAACAAATATGTAAGACTGCATTCTTCCATTTGCGCAACATCTCTAAAATTAGAAATATCCTGTCTCAGAGTGACGCTGAAAAACTAGTTCATGCATTTATTACTTCCAGGTTGGACTACTGTAATTCATTATTATCAGGATGTCCAAAAAACTCACTGAAAAGCCTTCAGCTAATCCAAAATGCTGCAGCAAGAGTACTGACGGGGACTAGAAAGAGAGAGCATATTTCTCCTGTTTTGGCTTCCCTTCATTGGCTTCCTGTTAAATCCAGAATTGAATTCAAAATCCTGCTCCTCACATACAAGGTCTTAAATAATCAGGCCCCATCTTATCTTAATGACCTTGTAGTAGCATATCACCCTATTAGAGCACTTCGCTCTCGCTCTGCAGGCCTACTTGTTGTTCCTAGAGTATTTAAAAGTAGAATGGGAGGCAGAGCCTTCAGTTTTCAGGCCCCTCTTCTGTGGAACCAGCTTCCAGTTTGGATTCAGGAGACAGACACTATTTCTACTTTTAAGATTAGGCTTAAAACTTTCCTTTTTGCTAAAGCATATAGTTAGGGCTGGACCAGGTGACCCTGAATCCTCCCTTAGTTATGCTGCAATAGACGTAGGCTGCCGGGGGATTCCCATCATACATTGAGTTTTTCCTTTCCAGTCACCTTTCTGACTCACTATGTGTTAACACACCTCTCTGCATTGAATCATACCTGTTATTAATCTCTGTCTCTCTTCCACAGCATGTCTTTATCCTGTCTTCCTTCTCTCACCCCAACCGGTCGCAGCAGATGGCCGCCCCTCCCTGAGTCTGGTTCTGCCGGAGGTTTCTTCCTGTTAAAAGGGAGTTTTTCCTTCCCACTGTTGCCAAAGTGCTTGCTCATAGGGGGTCATATGATTGTTGGGTTTTTCTCTGTATCTATGAAGCGCCTTGAGGCGACTTATGTTGTGATTTGGCGCTATATAAATAAAATTGAATTGAATTGAATTGAATTTATTTTTGCCTATTTTTTTCAAGCATGCTTACTATGACTGAGAGAGCAAAAGAATTCCAATGTGCCTTGACTGCTGATTTATGCACATATGGCAAATAATGAACCTTGAACCTTAATCTTAGCTCCTATGATGCCTGACAGGAACTTCCATTTTTTGCTGAAGCAGGTTACTGGTTGGTAGATGGATGGGACCAATCCCTTCTGGGGATCCTTGGGCTTCAGGAATGTCTGGCCTTCAGTTAATCATTCTGGGTGTTTCATCCATTAACAGCTGGTTCATTTATGCTGCAAGATGCTCATGAAATGCAGTTAACTTCTTTAGGGAGTAGGTGTGAATCATGTCAGGGCCTAGTGCTGTACAGTGCTAGGATGTCTGCCACTGTAATGGTTACTGGGTCCTGTTTAGTGACTCACACTTCAATAGCTCTGAGTAAGTTTAATATCCATCTTTTGTAGGAGATGTTTTTCGTATGGTGTTGAATTTGAATTTATCTTATTGTGTGTCACCTCCTGTCATGCTTCATTTCCTCATTTAGGGACATTTTGTTATACATCCCTTAAAATTTTGAGAAGTGCACTTGTAGTGAAAAGTTTACATACACTCACCATGAGCATGATCATGGTAGTTTGGGGCTTTTAGAATCAGAATCAGAATACTTATTAATCCCAGAAGAAATTATGTATAAGTGAACAGTCAGCATGCTGTTAACGCATCCTCGGACTTCTTTGTACTGCTCTTTGTCCATGGTGGAAATATTTTACAGCATACATCTTAAATGACTTTAAAAAACAAGAAATCGGTGCGCAAATTTGAAGATATTTTGGATTTGGATTTTCTCTAATCCACAAATTCAAAATATATATACGGTCCAGCTCTAACCAGAGAAAACCGGAAATATGAAAATTGGCTTCACACTTAAATTCGAAGGTGTCATTTTTGTTAATGGTTAGATAGCAAAGGGCAACTCCTCAGCTGCAAAATTTATATCCCTAAGCACACTAACATACAGTTTCACGTGAGCTAATTGAACCACAGAATCGCAGCCCTTTTTTTTCCACAGTTGTCTTTTTTTTTATTTTGAAACAACAGCCGGAAGTGAGATCTCTTTCGTCGTTTAGTTCTACACTGGTCCTCTCAGACTGGAAGCAGGTTGACTGGGAGCCACCAGCTAGGGTGGATAGTGATGAGGTGGTGAAATACTGCTTATGAGAGTGTAGTTTGGTTGCATACTGATAGACTTAACATACTGTACGACATCTTGTGCAAAAATGACGACTACTACGACATTTCAAGGGATGGAGCCCGGTGCTAAAAGCAGTTCCAGGTAAAAGGCGTCTTTCAGACCTCTGTGTATCCGTTAGCCATCCACCATGAAGCCAACAAGTCCAGCATCCTCTGACTTTACCCCAACGCGAAACACAGGCTAACGGAGAAAAATAGACGACCGTTTTGTTGTTGCCCCTGCCTGTAATTGTTACTAAGGCGTCTAGACATAGTTTGAAAGTAAAGCCGTCGACGATACAATTATAAAGCTTGCTACCACGCCTTCCCATTTTGCCCATCCGGATATAGCATTCGAACGTGAGCGTTAGTTAGCAAGACAAGACGTCTGTACCGCTGCCTTTTGTGGAGAGAGGATGCTTAGCGAGCTGATGCAGACTAATCGTGGTTCCGAGGCCTTTTATGCCTTCGTGTGTTTGTACTGCATTTCCTGCTTCAGTATTTTGTGGTTATTGTTTGGAAAACGTAGGGGAGTAAATATATATATTCATTCAGCTGG